AGAGGGAGAGAGAGAGAGAGAGAGAGAGAGAGAGAGAGAGAGAGAGAGAGAGAGAGAGAGAGAGAGAAACTGTGTAGTCTCCAGTCTCCAGACACACAAAATTCTGTAATTAGAAGAGGCAGTGAGGCTCCTTTCTAGGTTCATAGTGAGTTGATTATTGGGAAAGCTCTATATTTTCCAATAACATCCCCCAAATACTTCCTGGATGACGGTATTCGTTTTACAAGTGATTGGCGCACTGGGTCCAAAATTTGAGCAAGCACAAATTATTAAAATCTGTACAAAGATACATCACTGATAGCTGCTTGGGCTTTCCATACAAGTGAGGCCTCAGAAACAGATGAACTGCACAGAAAACATTTCTACAGTGAGCTTTACAGAATCCTCCTAAAAACACATGGCTCCCCAGCCCCATGTCTGTGAATCTCTCCACCAACTAAAGATGAATTTCATGTGTTATGTTGCACATAAGCACATGGTTGAAACATGTCTTTCTTAGTTTGGAAAGAAAAAGAACTTATTAAACTGATGTCAGAAATCCAGTGGGATTGATGTTTGTTTACTGTTTTGGAAAAAAATATAATTTCCAAAAAACTGACACATTTCTATAGCAAATAAAATTAGTACAATTTGTAAAACAATTACGATCAATCATGTTCCTTACATCATGAAAGTATTTACTCAGCTCTTCAAAAGAGATTTTTTCCTCTACATAAAACAGAATTCACTTTTCTGCAGTAGAGGAAATACCTATTTAGAAGCCCCTTTACTCTGCCTGTCCATAGTAGTTAAATCTTTAACCAAGAAAGGAGAGAGTTAAAAACAAAGAGGCCAAAATATTTGCTTACAATGCCATAAAAGAGATCATTTTAGTTTTTTGATTACCACCACCATTGTCCTGCTCCAACCCAAACATCTGCCTGTCACCCCATAAACGTACTTACACTTCTCTTCCCTTTATGAGCAAATAAATGGAGCTTTAAGAGACTTTTTTTTTTAAATAGATAGCAGCTGTTTGGCTGCTAAACACTGCATCTGGAAGGGAGTATGCTATTCACATGGAGAAAAAAAAAACATCCCATTGTTTAATTTTCTTAAAGTACACCAATGTTTTGCAAAAAAGATACTTGAATGCTTTGGATGTGCAGAAAGAAGAGCTCCGTTAAGGGTTTCTGAAAACAAGTATATTGCTACCAGAAGACAGGGTTTGCTCCATGAATAGCTGGTATTAATTGTGTATAATATGGGCCAAAGACTGCTATAGGGCATGAGTTCAAGGCCAGGCAATTCACAAGAACTGACATTCACCTCCTTCTTCTGAGATGAGCTCTGCTTTAGACTAAGATGAATCATTAGAGTTTCCTTGCCAGGCTCTAACTGTAATTTTCGGAATGCACAATCTGTTTAAAATATTAAAAATAAATGTCACGGCAAAAATCAGAGAAATGTCTTCTTTACAAAAATTAAACGAAGCCCCTACTCCAGGATCTTGGCATGCTGTGTGAGTCCACTTAAAAAACACTGTGGATCATGCAAACTGGGCATGGTGATGCCCGCCTTTAATCCCAGCACTCGGGAAGCAGAGACAGGTGGATCTCTGTGAGGACGAGGCCAGCCTGGTCTACAAAGTGAGCTCCAGGACAGCCAGGGCTGTTACACAGAGAAACCCTATCTTGAAAACAAAACAAAACATGGAAAACAAGAGAGGGAGAGAGAGGGGGAGAGAGAGAGAGAGAGAGAGAGAGAGAGAGAGAGAGAGAGAGAGAGAGGAGAATATCAAGGCTGCTTCTACCTCATCCTTGCTTTTCCTTTAAAAGGTAGCTTGATATATGAACCCTAAAACTTCAAGGGCATTGAGTTTTGCTCTTGTAGACGGGAAACATTTCTATGCAAAAGGACTTAGTTCAGAAGCAGTGAGAGATGGCTGATCCAGTAACTCCCTGGGCTACTTTCTCTGTTCTCATTTCACCTTGTCCTTCCAGCTTCCAGTTCCACCAGGACAGAGATACAACTGCAGCATATGCCTCACCCCCTCTTCCCTCTTTCTGAACCTCTGGCCACACACACAACACAGGTTAACCTGCCAGTTATCTGCACATTTTAGAAATAACCTAAAACGGGCCCACTCTTATCTCTTCTTCTCAGAAAGAAAGAGTTTCAACACTGTATGAAAATGATGCAAACTTGGCATCCGTGTGGCTTTCAGGCAGGGTAAACAGGTTAAGTATTAATATGCTGGATAGCACCTTAACAGCAGCTTGGAGGATGGCTATAGCAAGTCAATTTAATGCCACATAAAAAGGAGCAGTCTGAGAACTTGGATTCATTTTATTCTTAAGGCCATAGGCTGATGCTCTGAAGATTATACCAAGAAGGGATAGGGCAGGAATATCTTCCACTTCTTTGTTCAAACGCTGGGTATCTCCATTTTCCCACTTCCATCTCTCTTACCCTGTTCATTCTTTCATTTTGTTTGTCTTTTTTGAAACAAGGTCTCATCTTGCCTCTGCCGATCTCAAACTTGTTACATTGTCCTTTAACTCCTGGACCTTCTGCCTCTAGCTCCCAAGTGCCAGGACATGTGTGCCCCTCGCGGTTCTTACTCCACTCATTCTTTCTTTGCTAATGTCAGAGGTTGTAGTATGACTAATCCGCAGACTACTGCACATCTTACTATATTTCGTTAAAACTTATTGTAGCTTGGTTGTTGCATGGGGACTCTTTCCCTTGAGGTAGATAAAGTCTTACCAAGGAGGCAAGACACACACATCACTGTTATAGAATGATAAATAGTCCATACCAAAATACTAAATTTTCTGCAATTGAAGTTAATATACTTATAAAAGACACTGAATTTAAATAGTTTAGAGGAATAGGAGAAATCAATATTGTGATATATTTTTTTAAAAAGCTTATTAACAAAAAATTCAGAGCATACAACTGTCTTACACATTTTATTTCTATATAATTCATATAATTAATTAACGTACACTATTTATAAGCACATATACAAGACTCCAGGATCATCAAAAATAGATGAGAAGCAAATGTCCATGTAGACTATTGAGTACCTCTCTAGAAGAAGGCAGCCACTGACTAAGGTTGCTGGAAACTTCATTTTTATTTCAAGCTTTTGCTTTTAGGATTACCCCCTCTGCTTGAATCATATAACAGTAATTGCTGTAATTAAAACATATATAAAGTAAATGTTTAATGGTAAAATATCAGCATGTGTTGTCTCTTGAAGACAGGAGAGCACAAATGGTCCAGTCTGTGCATATGTGGGGTAGTGTGAGCACTGCTGCTAATCGACACTACTGCTCTTTACATGAATCACTTGTCCACATTGTTGGCTGACTCTCCTGCCATCAGGTCCCTGTGCAAGCTTTTTAACAAGAGCCCCTGGCCACACCCATGATCTTCCTATTGGAAACAGTTTGTTCACAAACTCAGAATCTGAAAGAATGTCTCCTGTTGAAAACCAACGTTAAGCACCTGAGGTTTAGTAAGTTTTTAAATATCTCTCACTTTTAAGGTATTAAAGGCCTGACCTGCTCCCTCAACAGGTACAGGTGCTGAGTGCTAAGCTGGACAACCTAGTTCAATCCCTAGAATCGACAGAAGGTGTAAATGAGAGAACAGACTCATAAAACTGTCTTCTGACCTCCACACACCCAGAATGATAGATGAAATCAAGTCTAGACTGTTTGTTTAAAAGAAAGGTATTATAAAAAGGAGTCTCCAGGAACAGAGAGATATTCGTCTATAGACTAAATCCTTAGCTATTCAGCTTCTCCATGGGACCTCATCTGAGCTACCCTTTACTTCACATAAAGATGAACAAGTTCAAATGTCCTGTTTCCTGACCCTGACACCCCTGCTCAACTCGCCTTACCACTGTGTGTCACACACCTCTACATACATGTCTATCCTTAAGTGTAGAAACCTTGCCAGAACCAGGCTGGTCTACACTGGAAAGATTCCCCTTCTTCTGTCTTTTGTGTGCTAGGACTACGGGTGTGCACCACTACATCCAGTACTGTGCCATTTTTATGAGGGAAAATATTTAATCACATATTATAATTCATTGTGCAGGTAGATTTTCAGTTTTTGCTTGTAAGCAGCTGGCAGCAAGGCTGTGTCTCGGCCTCCTGAGAGCAGCTAACGCTAGCACTGCATCCAGCACATAAAAGGTGCCAAGTGAGAAGTGAGAGTTAGTCACTGGGACAGTGACTAGAAGGAGATGGGAGAAAGTCCTTTAAAGACTGATTGGATGAAGGGTGCAGTTGAGGAAGGGAGGCAGCCGACTTCTCACCCCGAACCTGAGCTAAAGAGTAAGCAAATCAGTTGATGGAGAACAGACACTTCTTCACCTTATTAGTGGAAGAGTTGCTTCCCTAGGCAAAATCTGGACAAATAATGAGAAATCATTTCCAGCACAAACGCTTCTCTATGGAACTTCACCAAATACTTTAAAAATCAAAGTTTCCATGGCCCACCGTGCTTCTGGCCTCTTGGATAGCAATGAAAGGAACCGGGCTCAGGTCATGCACATCAGGAGCCAGTGAGAGAGCTCAGCAGGTGAAAGCACTCGCTGTGCACACTGCATGGCTAGAGTCTGACCCCTGCCCACCAGGGGAAGGAGGTAAGTGAGTCTTCAAAGTTGTCCTCTGACCTTCCTACACATGCCTTGGCATGCAGCATTCTGTGTGTGTGTGTGTGTGTGTGTGTGTGTGTGTGTGTGTGTGTGTGTGTGTGTGTTGTCTGTGTCCCTCTCCCTGTTTCATGATGACAATGATGAAGAAGAAGATAATAAGATAAAATCTTAAATGGTTCATGCTTGTACCCACCACCTTTCTTTCCTCTTATCCACCTCATTCTCTTCCATCCAGCAGACTCTGCAGAGTTCTTAACAGACACACCATTATTGAAAACAGAAACGCTAAAAGCAGAATATTTCCATCAGAGCATGTAAGCTCTAAGTCAAACGCTGCTGTTACCTTTCATAATCTTCACATTGGTGGGTGATGGTTACCAGTGTCTCGTTATGTTTCTCATTTGTGAGGTGTCGACGTGGAATCTAAAAGACAAAATATATAAATGCAAAGGATACAAAGTTCAGATGTGTCTCGTGGGAAGAAGAGTCTATGAGTCTCAGAGAGAAAGCCACCTGTTAAGTGTTAAATGCGTTTTCCATCAAAAGCCGTGATTTTAGTCTCATGTCTTATTTTCAGTGCTGTTAGTCATGAGAAAATAGACCACAAGCGTACCTCTGCCTGCTTCAGCGAAAGGGTAAAGCACTGAGTGTAAGCAAAGACTCAACCTTTCAGCTAAGGAAGATTCTGATGACAGAGAGAAATTGTCCTGTAACAAAGAGAAGAAGGCTGGGCATTCCAACATGCAAAGCATAAACTGTTGAAGCTGACAGGCTGACATATTTGCAATTCAACTAGCCACACTGTAGGGACAAGCTGTCCAGGAGTGTCTAACCACCCGGTACCACCAGGGCCTTTTTTCCTAAAATGCCACTTACTCCAGATTTTACTCAATGGGAGTTAGTAATTATTTCCATGACTTTTAGAATAACAGAAGAATTAGTGATGTTACCACTAAAAGACACAATTTTTTGTCCTCATTTTTTTTCTATTAAATATTAATTGCAACTTAGTAACCCAAACTGTGTCAAAAGTTGCACAGGCAGCATGGTGCCTCAGATGGTACGTACCAGACACTTGAATTCAAAGAACTGGAAGACTCCTGTATATTTTGAAAGCCAATTCCTGCAGGCAATTAACACATTTAAAATGCCTCTGGAAACGAGTACTTTCCATGATCCCTTTAGAAAATGTAGGGAGTTGGGGCTGTGAGGAACATGAGGGCAGCTTGTCTGCATTTTTCGAGTTTCTGTTGAATTATAACAACAAGCCCCCAAAGTCTGATTGTCCCAGATCTCTGGGAGGGACTCACTTCAGCTATTGGCGAGCTACCTAGACACAGTGTGGGAGGGTGGCTTTTTGTTTTGAGCTCCTGACAGCTGTTTCAAAGTCATCTGCTACCACCATGGCAGCCAGTTACTAGATGAAAGCAGATGCCTCTGGGGACTGCTGTAGGAACTGGACCACCAACTAGTGTGGCTTTTTTCCTCCCTAGTTATGCAAAATTTTGCAACTGCCTCTCTTCTTTGTAGGATGCCCCAGAGATGTTGCAAAATTCGTCACAGTCACTGAGGAGCAAAGCCAGAGGCACCTGACAAGGAGGGGCAAGAAGGCCTACTGTGGCGGTTCTAGAAGATGAGGTTTTAAACATGAATTAATAAATAAGCTTGTAACAAAGCCTGTAAAGATGCTGTTAGTTTAACCAAGGCATCAAGAACTCTACCACCCCCCAGTTGCCAAAGGAGGCAACAGAAGCCCAGAGAGGCAAACAACCCAGCTAATCAGTCAACTGCTCTTTGAGGCCCAGACACCTAGCTCTTCATTTTTATACTTCTGTAGTTGCACATTGTACGGGTGATATCTCATTTTAAGTTTAAAATAAAAGTATGCTTGTTTTAACACTAATTTTACATTATAAATGAAACCGCAAAAAAGATGTCATAGGCATTACATCACATTGTTTGGATTCTGGGAAATCTTGAAAATGGCGCGTATGGAAAGAAAACCTGCAGACTTCATCTCCACTAAATCCCAGGTTAGGGTAACCTTGAGGCCCAAGACAAACAATTGTACTGAAACAGTCTCCTCAAAAAATCTTCACAGAGCCAACAAAGCACAGAATCCATCTAGCTGGATTGTCTCGTCCTTGCGTACCCAGAATGCTGACGAGAGGTCGTGAGAGAATGAAAAGCTGGGATCTGGTGGATGATGCTCTTTAATGGAGAAGCTGCAGTACCTGGAAGCTAAGAGTGTTTATTTTATTAAGTGAGCAGGGAGGCAGGGCTATTGCATACAGATAAACAGGGCAACAGTGTTGGTATATACAGGTAAACAAGAAGGCAGATTTAGCTTATCTTGGTAGGAGAAGTCTCTGCAGGAGAGCAGTCTTCAGGACGCAGACATCTGGACAGAAAGCTGGGAGAAAGCCACCACTGACATCTTCTGCACACACTCGGCATTCCCACTTGGAACAGAGGAGGGCTTTGCTGTCTCTCTGAGCTTTACCATGAGAAGGCTCTGCCACTCCCATGGGTTTGAGGCCTTGGGATCTTTGACATAGCCATGCCCTTGTCAAACAATACACATTCACTCAGGACTTGACTTGATCCCTTCACTGGATGATCATGAACTTACTGGATTTCTCTTGGGTGGTATGAAGACTAGCAGACAGGCAGAGAAAACACCAGCCAAGAATTTCTGAGTCAGAGGCCCATCTGGCACTAGGAACACACTGCAACTATCATTGATTATAACTCCTTCACTTATTATACAATGTAAATCAAGACATGTTTACCTCATTACACATTTTTAATACTTGAAACAGATCTTAAATGAAATAACCAAGCTGGACACAGAAAATGATTTTTTTTTAACTTTTATTGATTCTTTGTGGATTTCACATCATGCATTCTGATCCCACTGATCTCCCTGTCGCCTCACGTCTGCCCTCTGCCCTTGCAACCTTCTTCCCAAAACAAAACAAAGAAACAGAAACAAAAACAAAAAACCAACAAAAGAGAGATAGAAGAATCTTGTCGAGGAAGCTGTAGTGTGGCCGTTGAGTCCCACAGTTTACCCTTTAGCCCATTCATCTTTACTTGCAAGTGTTCATTGCCACAAGTCATTGGTCTGGCTTGAGGCCTCTGACTTCTGCTGTGCCACCCACTGATAACGGGCTCTTACTGGGGCTCCTCTTGGATATCCTGTTGTTGTCCTGTGTCATGGAGACCCTGCTTTGGGGGATCTGTAGATTTGTCCCCTTCACCCGCTCCAACAGGTCATAGATGGGGTACATGTTGGGATGAGCTAACTCATATCCCAGGTTATGGGCCTGGGTAGCAGCCGTTGGTCATCCCACCACCTCAAAGATGATGATTTGTGCAAGAGCAGTTGTATTGGAGGTACAGAAGTGTTAAGCAAAAAAAAATTGTGCGTGAAAATGCCATAAAGAAACCTGTTGTTACCTTGTATGGCAATTAAAAAATAAGTAAAATTTAAAAATTGCTTGTGAATGCTAAATAAACTGCAAAAACAAAGGCAGGATTGTGTACCAAATCTCTTAAATCTCTTTGTGCATTCAAGCTGGACTTCCCTAATATATAATCTTGAAGTACTGAAAAATGCAACTAGTCAAGTTTCTGCTTTGTTAACTAGCGAGTTACAAAACCAACACATTAGTGACCACACTGTGCTTAGACCATACTGCTCACTGTACACTCAATGATTGTACAATGGTTTTTATTTTTAAAATCTATTTATTTGTGTGTGTGTGTGTGTGTGTGTGTGTGTGTGTGTGTGTGTTTGTGTGTGTAATGTGTATGCATGTGTTCATGTGGGGACACATGCCTGTCTGTGCATGTGAGGGTCAGAGGTTGTTATTGGGTATGTTCCTCCATTGCTCCACATCTTATTTTTAGAGATGGGGTCTTTCACTGAATCTGTGCTCACTGATTGGCTAGACTGGCTAGGCAGAGGCCTCTGAGGATCTGCCTGTCTTTGCCTTCCTCACACTGGCATGACAGATAGGCACCACCGCAGCCATCTTTTTAAGTGGGTTCTGGGAACCTGAATTCAGGTCTTCAAGCTCACCTGGCAGGCAGTTTCCTCACTGAACCATCTTCGCAAGCCTAGCTACTGTTTTTTTGCTCTTGATGTTTTCTTGTGTCTGTGACATCCATCTCCTGCCCTGCAGGATCATTGATGAAGCCGCTATTTTGCCCCAGAATCACTCACGTCTTTTATCAATAACGTGATGTAACAAAGGTCTTGCCATGATACATCTAATTTCTCTCCAACAACGTTATTGTTAATTCATTAGCCTTTTCTAAAATCTCCCCTAGAATTTATGGTGTATTCTTTTGAAAATATTTAGGAAAGTTCTGTTAAAGTTTGATGATTGGGGTGAGGAAAGGAAAGCCAAGTGAACAATACTAGTTGCTTTCAAAAAGATCACAGGATGGAAATCTCAGAGCTGCTTCCACCCACCCACCCCAACCCCAGTTATCTACTTTTTAAGCCACAGAGCAAGGGCAGAAGAGTAATGGTGAGCAGGTCGCTGGAAAGAGTCTAATTTTCTCACACACACATATACACCCGTTTCCTCTTCTGTACGTGGGGGTGATGCGTATACCCCCTCCCAGGACTGCCACTAGCTGGAGTGCCTGCCTGGCAGGTAACTAGTTCTATATCATTTTAAAAACTGGAACACAGCACAATATTCCCGAGTAGCTGTAATGTGCAAGGATGAGGTCAGTGCAGCCATCATGCTATTTTGGTCCCTTCTGAGGAAGTAGGTCAGTTCAGCATCTTGACTCATGATCATATTGACACAGCTTAATGTGTGGAAGTAGATATACCTTGTTATTTCTGAAGTTCCTTTTGACTAATGATTTTTCAGGTAAGGCTATACGAGACTGTCTCAGAGAACTCATCATCCTGTTGAGAAAAATAGGATGCCAAGCCTAAGAGGTCCCAAATCGGGGATTTCTTGTTTTCATATCCCAGTATGGGTCACAGTGAGGACTTTTTACCCTCACAATAGAAAAAAAAAAAACAAAAAACGATCACATGCTAACTGCATATGGTGAAATGAAAGACAAATGCTGTTGTCAGTTAAGAGTAGAGGGTTATACATCATTGTCACCAACAGTGGTTTGCTCAGGTTTTTTGCAGATTATTTACATTGTTTTGTTTTTGCATTTTTTACATCAATGAAAGCAAAACAGAAAGATGAAAATTTTATTTAGAGTTGCTTCAAAATTTAGTTCCCATAGTGAAACAGATTATAAGTCAGATGTAATTTTTAGAACCAAAAGATTTAGCACTCAAGACCACAGGAGGAAAGATGCCCAAGTGGCTGACGACATCCTCTCAAGCTAAAAGCAGGTATGTTCCTTCCTTCCCATCCCTGGATTAATGTCTTCCCTCTCTTCCTCACCCCACTCACTTCCTCCTCTTCACAAAGGAATCTCTATATCGCTAAAGAAGCAGATGGTGCTTTGTGTTTAACTTAACCAAACCTTGCCTTGGATTCTTGGATGGAGTTCAGTACACCAGTGAAGATCATAAGTTGTTTGATTGCTTAAGCAGAAGTTTATACAATCCAGTTCCAAAATAATTCAAACGTAGAGGATAGACGCACTGTTGGAAATATGCTG